GAGCCTCAGTTTCCCTATCCGGAGCCGCGGCGGGGCCGGGCGTTTGCGGCGTCGGCGGCGGGGAGCGGGGAGCCCGGGAACCCGGACGCACCCTGGGCCCCCGGGCGGCCCCTGGGCCGCACCCTCGGCCCTCTACCCGCACCCCCGGGCTCCCTCGGCCCCCCTGCAGCCGGGGAACCCGGACGCACCCGGGCCGCACCCTCGGCCCTCCCCCCCCCCCCGCCGCTCCCTCGGCCCCCCTGCAGCCCGGGCCGCACCCCCGGCCCCCCTGCAACCCCGTCCCGGCAGCGTGGCCACGTGGCCTGATTGCTATGGCACCCGTAGTCACAATCAGGCCCGAGAGGCCGCGTCCGCGGCCCCCACCCACCCACGCCCGCCTTTGGAGCCCTGAGCAGGGCCCTCCGCCCTCCGGGGCCACACTCCACGGAGCCACCGCAGCCCCTGGGCGCTCAGTGAGGCCAAGGCCACTCCGCGGCAGGCCAGGGTAAAGAGGGCCGGAGGTGCGTCCCGGAGCCCCGGGCCGGAGGCTGGGCTGGGGGCGCCGCTGGGGCGGGCGGGCCGCGGCGCCGCGGGCGCTCTGCCCGGGGGAATTCGCAGTGGGCCTGGGCAGCACTGAAGCGCAGCCGCCGTAGCTCCCGGTGTTTCGTGCTGGCCACAAAAGTCGTCTGTGGACTTGTGGGGAAGGCCACACCGATGGCCGGGAGGGAAAGTACTGGCTTCTCCGAGTCCATGTGTGAACTTAGCAAACCTTACGTGTTCTCTTTCCATCCGTGTGCAGCGGAGATACCACAGCGTTCCATGGACCGCTGTGCTGGGCATTAGTAGCCTGCATGGGGAAAGCACACAGCACATCTAGTCTTGAAAGCCGTGTGAAGTAGAACCTTGTGTTCCCACCATACAGCTAAGGGAGTGGAGAACAGCGGGCAGGGTGACTGCTGGGCCAGTCTTGTCCGCTTTCTGGACAACCTCCCTCCTCGAGAGCTTGACAATCAACAGGCACCTTGAGCCTGGCGCTCATGCCTGTAACCCTAGCTACTCAGGGCTGAGATCTGAGGATTGAGGTTCAAAGCCGGAAATAGAGCTGTAGCTCTAGTGGTAGAGCACTGGCCTTGAGTGAAAAAAGCTAATGGACAGCACTCAGGCCTTGTGTTCAAGCCCCAGTACCGGCACAAAACCAGCATCAACAAAAAACCCAACAGGTACCTTGAAGAACCTCAAATTCAAACTTCCTCATTTTACAGATTTAAAAAGTGAGGCCCATAAAGAGGAAAATCTTGCCCAGGGCCACCTGATAAATCAGAGGCAGAGCCAGGACTGGAACTAGACATCCTGACTACAGCCTCAAGACACCTCCAATAAAAAGCCAACAGGGCTGCCTCTGGTCCCCAAAGTGCATTCTCAAAAGCCCACGCACCTTGCTAGGCTTGTCAAACCCAACTGCAAAGACAGCTGGGAAGAAAAGGCAACTGCCTTTTCCAGGACAAAGAACACAACAACCAAGCCTACAATTTGCACTGGAGAAGGGGCGGTTTGCTTCCTGGGCATTTCTGAAATGACTTGCCTTTCTCCTCATTTATTTTAAGCCCTAGGCACTTTTCATACCAGGATTTAATCTTCTTTAGCAGCATGGAAAAATACAAATCAATTAAAGCCTAAAACCTATGGGGTAATCATTTTTCCTCCTCCCCCCCTCCCAACAAGAAGTGGTGCCTGTACCTCGTGCCTTTTATCCACACTAATTTGGATGCTGAGATTCGTTCAAGGGACAATCACTTTGGATAGCTTATTACAGCTCTTCTCATGACATTCTTGGCGTGCATGTCACAAGTTGCTAGGATCAAGAACTGAATCACATTTGCTCTCAGGGGGTCTTGGGGCCACCAGTCAAGGTTGGCTGTGGAGAACTTGGCAGTCCCAGGGTGGCAGGGAACAGGACATACAAAAGATACGCTCTCCGCACCCCAAGTGGAACTGGGATAGAGCACTAACAAAAAAGCTGAGGGACTACGCTTAGGCCTTGAGCTTATTCCCCAAGACAGGCACAAACACGCATGCATATACACACACACACAGGTACTCCTTTCCCCCAATGTTTGCAGTTTACCTTGCTTTGAAATGGGGAGAAAAAAAAAAGTAGTGTAGTGAGAGTTGAAGCAAGGCCCAGGATCTAGTTGGTGAACCCTAGAACAGGAAACTTGCCAGGTCCTTACTATTTGCCACTTTTGTCTCTCACCTAGCCATGGTCAATCTGTTTGGAATGTTGGTTCTAAGGAACAGAGGGAAGGAAGGATCCAGGTGAAAATCGGACAGTGTGATAAGTCCAGGCTTGCCTATGCCTACTTTTTGGCTGATATATATATATATTTTTAGTTGTTATTTACTCTGTGTGTGTGCGGTGTGCGCGCATTTGCTGGTACTGAGGCTTGAACTTGGGGCCTGGGTGTTGTACCTTAGCTTTCTCATTCAAGGCTAGCGCTCTACTACTTGAGCCACAGCTCTGCTTCCAGCTTTTTGGTGGTTAATTAGAGATAAGAGTCACACACACTTTGCTGCCTGGTTTGGCTTCGAACCGTGATCCTCAAATCTCACCCCCAAGTGGCTAGGATTCCAGGCATGAGCCACCAGTGCTGGGCTCCTCTGCTTTTTTTTTTTTTTTTTTTTTATTGTAAAGCTACTATACAGAGGGTTACAGTTACATGAGTGAGGTTATGAGTACACTTCCTCTTGAACATTGTTACCCCCTCCATTGTTTTCCCCCTACCATCCCCTCCCTCCCTCCCTCCTCTGCTTTTTAAGCTTGGTTTTCAATCTCCTACAGCAACCAGTGTTCCCCTGTGCCTGTGACAATGGCAGGCCCCTATCAGTTTAATCTCAGTAGGCCTGAGAGCTCCCATGAGTCTGCACCCCCACATTCTGGGCTCTAAGGTCCCTGCCCTCCCCTTGTTTCCTCTTGTCATGCTCACCCCAAGGCTGAAGTGAGCTGTTTCCCACCACGTTAAGACATCAAGGCTGGGAGATGGCAGCTTGCTCTGATGGTCAGCAAAAAGGGGTGGAACCAGGTTCTGAACCCAGGTGACCCTAGAGCTACCTTAACTGCTGCCAACCACAGCATGGAGCCCAATGGGCAAAGGCCAGGCTACAGGGCAAGCTCCCCTCTCCCTCCAAACCACCTCCTGCCACTCTGACTTCAAACTAGGCTGGATTAGGAAGAAGCGTTCATCTCAGCACAAAACATAAGGGGCCCTAGATAATCTTGATAATCAAGGCATGCTTTAATACAATATTTTCTATAAATTAAGACACCAATAACCCTATTTGAATATCAAAAATTTAGGACTAGGCTCAGTTGCTTAAGCCTGTAATCCTAGCTACTCGGGGTGAGATCTGAGGATTATAGTTCAAAGCCAGCCCCAGCAGGAAAGTCTGTGAGACTCTTATCTCCAATTAACACCAAAAAATTGGAAGTGGCTCTGTGGCTCCTGTGGTAGAGCGCTAGCCTTGAGCTGAAGAACTGATGGACAGCTCCCAGGCCCAGAGTTCAAGCCCCATGACCGACCCCCCCCCAAAAAAAAATTTCAGCCAATGTCTAAGCACCGTGATACATGCTTGTCAGCCCCAGTGACAAAGGGAAACACAAGTAGGAAGACAGCAGCCTTTGGCCATCCTAAAGTGAGATGCTGCCTTGAAAAGCAAAAAAAGAGACAAGAAAAAGTTTAAAAAGCTGTGACCCAAGAGCGCCTGCCTGTACTGGGGGTATAAAAAAAAAAAATATATATATATATATACACACACACATATATATATATGTATACATATATATGTACATATATGATCACTTAGCAATTTTATTTTCTTTTGCCACAGTTCTGAATCCTTTAAAATTATGTATTTTGTTCTTTGTAAACTTTTGGTCTTAAACTGCTCTTACTGAAGTACTTTTCTCTCCTGAATGTGCTGAGTTTTAGGCAGCACAGAGGTAAAACTTTTGCACCGAGTTTGGTGCCTACCTCCCCACCCCCCTTCTCTGCTGAGCCTGACTATGGGAGACACAGCAGAGAGCCACTGTGCCCAAGTGAGCCATTTCTGCTCCCTGGGGAGGAGAGCAAGGATATGGCAGGCATTCCATAAACAGGACCATGCCCCACTTCCCCTCCCCCTTTGTCCACTTTAGGGGTGAGGTGCCAAGTGTGGGGAGATTGAGCAGGAAGATCACTGGCCCTGGCCCAGGCCTGTCTCCAGGGAGCCGCAGCTGCTCTGTCTGTTGGCAGATGTGGTGCACACTCGTTAAATTTGCTCCACTGGGACTTATGGGGTGTGACTGTCAGGCCTCCCAGTGCTGTCCTGGTTTTGATTCATCCAGCTGTCATTTTGTGGAAACAATTTTCTGGTCCATCCTATTTCCTTTTACTCCTCTGCTCCAGCACCATTGCGGAGGGGGGGGGGGGGGGTCAAGGCTGCTGAGGGAGACAGAACACAACTGCCTCCCACTTGCAACCCCTCCTCATGCCTGGACGCCTGGAATGTGCCTTCCTCACCCAGCATCCTGTGTGGTCCTCTCCGCTTCCATGGTCTGGCTTGGGCCCCACTTGGGCATCACCTCCTCTATCCTGGCTCATGGTGGCACAGGCAAGGGTGGGGAGTACAAGGGTGCTAGCACCACGGGGAAGTGTGTGTGTGTGTGTGTAAAAGTGTCTGCAGACACTGAAGGCCAGAGCAAGCATCCAGCGCTCAGGGAAGGAAGTCACATTGCATGAGCGACACCATCCTTGACAGGAAAAGGGACAGAAGGGAGGCTTTGCTCTGTTGGGAACAACTTGGTGGATCTGGAGCAAATGCGTGTACGTAGCCTCTCAGGGCCTCAGTCTCCCCTCAGGGCTATGGGGAGCTGCTCAGAGCACACGAGAGGCCATTGCATATCCTCTCCAGAGGACCCTTGCTTCTGTAGCTGGCTTCCTTCACGTATGCGAGGCCTCCTCACGGTTCTTCTCCCCTCTAGGTTGCCTCCTGCCCTGTGGATGACCCTAGGAGATGACAATGAATGAGGTGAAAGAGTCCCTCCGCAACATTGAACAGAAGTACAAGCTCTTCCAGCAGCAGCAGTTCACGTTCATCGCAGCTCTGGAGCACTGCCGGGAGACCGCTCATGACAAGATCCGGCCCATTGCCAGCATCGAACAGGTGGCAGCCTGGCAAGGGCACGTGTAGGCCCCAGGGGCCCACCACACCCATTCCCTGGGCCTCTCAGCCCAGTCTCCCTTACTCCCAATGAAACAGCAGAGCCCCAAAAGAGGCATAATGGGGCCAGAGTCAAGACTCAGATCCTAACTAATGGGCTGAGACCCTTTTTCAACCCCCTACAAGATCTGAGAGTGAACAACAAGAGTTTAAAATGGGCATGAAAGACTCAGCCAGCCAAGCTTGAGCACAGGGCCTGAGCACGTCCCTGAGCTTTTGTGGTCAAAGCTAGCACTCTACTATTTGAGCCACAGCTTCACTTCTGGCTCTTGCTGGTTAATTGGAGATAAGAATCTCACAGACTTTTTTTTTTTTTTTAAACCCGGGCTGGCTTTGAACTGTGATCCTCAGATCTCAGCCTCTTGAGTAGCTAGGATTATAGGTGTGAGCACCTGTGGGGTACTTAGCAGCATCTTCCCCACCTGCTAATTTTTGTATGATTTCCCTTTTTTTTTTTTGTCGGTCGTGGGGCTTGAACTCTGGGCCTGGACGCTGTCCCTCAGCTCTTCAGCTCAAGGTGAGCGCTCTACCACTTGAGCTACAGCGCCACTTCCAGTTTTCTGGTGGTTTATTGGAGATAGGAGTCTCACGGTCTCTCCTGCCCAGGCTGGCTTTGAACCGCAATCCTCAGATCTCAGCCTCCTGAGTAGCTAGGATTACAGGCTTAAGCCACCAGTGCCCGGCGTTCCCTCCCATTTTTGACTTGAACAATAAGCAGAGAAACATCCACAGAAACCTCCATTTATATCTATTCATTGTCACACTGAGCTTACTGGTCTGTGTGTGTTTCCTTCAAGTATTTGAAAGGCAAATGGTTTCAATGTCCCAGAAGCTCAACCTTCCAAGAGTGCCAGGCAGGCTTTGACTCCAAAAGTAGCCTTAGTCCCACCCTACCTGAGCATCTGAATTGATGCTATGGCACACTAGGGAGAGAGTTTAGATTCACTGTTGGTTCTGTGTGTGTGTTCGTATTGGCCTTTCACTCTACCACTTGAGTCACACCTTCACTTCCTGACCCTGTGTTCGGACTCTCCATCTGAAGTGCTGTTTCTTTCCCTCTCTTCCCTCCCTGAACCAGGGGTTTCCCAAGGGGTTACCTGTTCACCACCAGGGAGCTCAGGGATATAGCTTTTGTGTTCATACAATCTAGGTTTCCCCTACTGCCTTTGCAGGCCCTTGTGCAGGCCTCAGCCATAGGAAATCCCAGACTGAGGTTTAGGGTGCTGGAGGAAGTAAGAGTTATACCTCCACTCATTACATGGTGACATAGTTGGCTTTGAATAGGTCAATTAAATGGCCAGTTCCAGCACCAGATCAGGCCTCCCACCCAGGCCTGGGGAGTCCAGGTAGTCCAGTAGAGAAAGACCCTGACCCAGGAAAGATCCCCATGCTATCAAGAAAGAGTTGAGGTCAGGCACTGGTGGCTCACACATGTAATCCTAGCTACTCACGAGGCTGAGGTCTGAGGATTGTGGTTCAAAGCCAGCCCAAGAGAAAAGCCCATGACACTTATCTCCAATTCACACACACACACACACACACACAGCAGAAGTGAAACTGTGTCTCAAGTGGTAGAATGCTAGTCTTGAGCAAAAAAGCATCCAGGCCCTGAGTTCAAGCCCCAGGACCAGCATACAAAAAAAGAAAAAAGGTGCTGATGGCTTATGCCTGCTGCCTAACTACTCAAGAGGCCGAGCCCTGAGGGTTGTATTTTAAAACCATCCTGGCTGGGCAAGTCTGTGAGACCCTTATCTCCAATAAACTACCAAAAAGTCAGAGGTGGGGCTGTGACTGAAGAGGTAGAAATCTTGTCTTGAGCACAAAAGCTAGGGAACAGCACCTAGGCCCTGAGTTCAAGTCTCAAGACTGGCACAAAAAAGGAAGAAGGACGGAAAGAAGAGCGGAAAAGTAGACCAAAGAACCAGTAATTTGTCTTGCCTAACTTTTTAAAGAAAGGTTTCCATATTTCCTAAATTTATTCACATGAGGTTTTTAAAGTTTTATTTGTGTTACTTAAGCTCCTGATCCTTTATTTTTTTTGGGGGAGGGGGGGTTCCGGTCGTGGACCTGAACTCTGGGCCTGGGCACTGTCCCTCAGCTCTTCACCCCAAGGCTAGCGCTCTACCACTTGAGCCACAGCACCACTTCTGGCTTTTTTCTTTTTGCTTATGTGGTACTGAGGAATCGAACCCAGGGCCTCATGCATGCAAGGCAAGCCCTCTACCACTGAGCCACCTTCCCAGCCGCAACTCCTGATCCTCTTTAAGAGTTGATTTTTCAATATGGATGTAGTGCAAAAGAGGCCACATTTTCTTCTCATGTGGATAATCTTTCTCTACCTTAGAAACAGCACAATCTGATGATGATGATGAATTCTCATTTGCCTCAGTGTGTGTCTCAGGGTCCCCAGAACATACTAGCCCCCCCCCTGGGTGTTTTAGGGGGTGAGTGCTCAGGAGTGTGAGCACTTGGCTAAACCACTTCCAGTGGTGCCCTGAGCTGGCTATTTCACTGTTCTAGACTCTAGCATATCTGTAAAACGAATGTCTAAAATAGGCCTGGGGCTCATGCCTGTAATCACAGCTATTCAGGAGGCTGAGATCTGAGGATCTTGGTTTGGAGTCAACCTGAGTAAGATAGTCTATGAGAGTCTTATTTCCAATTAGGTAGCAGATAGCCAGAGGTGGAGCTGTGGCTCAAGTGGTAAAGCACTAGCCTTGAGCAAAAAAATCCAAGTGAGAGCACAAGGCCCTGAGTTCAAGTGTCAGTACATACACACACACACATGCACGCACACGCACACGCACACGCGGCCAGGCCTAGAACAGCATTCTGCATGGAGCCTAGAACACATAATGGTGTTAGCTGTATGTCCTGATCCATCTGTTGAAGTGCTTAACTGCTGGCACCTCCCTGTGAACCTGGGGAGCTAGCAGGGAAGGGGGTGGCATTCCCTGGGGGCTGACAGCTCAGTTCACAGTATGCTGGCCTTGGCAGGTACAGAGCTACATGGACCATTACTGCAATAGTTCCACAGACCGGCGGGTGCTGCTCATGTTCCTAGACATCTGCTCTGAGCTGAACAAGCTCTGCCAGCACTTCGAGAACCTACACTCGGGCACCCCAGTCACCAACAACCTCCTCGAGAAGTGTAAAACCCTGGTTAGCCAGAGCAACGACCTGAGCTGCCTCAGAGCAAAGTAAGTCCCTGCCTGTCCTGTCAGCAGGGCCTCCATGACGGAGCCCTTGGAGATGTCAGGGGACTCTGAGCTGGTTCTCTTCTGTTGCTGAGGAACATGACTGCTGTCCATTAACCTACAAGAATGCCAGGCCCTGTGGCTCATCCCTGAAATCCTAGCTACTCAGGAAACTGAGATCTGAGGAATCGTGGTTTAAGGCCAGTCCAGGCAGGAAAGTCCTTGAGACTCCAATTAAGCACCAAAAAGGTGGAAGTGGAGCTGTGGCTGAAGTGATAGAACATTAGCCTTGACCAAAAAAAAGTGCAATGGTCCAATGTGCCCAACTCTCAGGGACCATAGTGCAATGGTACAATGTGTCAAGTCTCAGGGGAGCTCTGTGTGTGTGTGTGTGTGTGTGTGTGTGTGTGTGTGTGTGTGTGTATGTATTAATATATATTTTTGTTCTTAGCTCAGTCCATGTAGGCTCCTGCAAGCCATAGGTCAGTGGGGTTCTTAGCCCCATGTATTCTGAATCAGAACTTGTGGGGACAGAGTCCAGGTTGAAGACCCCATGGGGTGACTGCTGTGTGCAGGCTGGAGGCTGCCCGACCCCACACAAGTCTAGCCTCGCCCCCGCCCCACCATGCAGGTACCCGCACGACGTGGTGAACCACCTCAGCTGTGATGAGGCCAGGAACCACTACGGGGGCGTGGTCAGCCTCATCCCCATCATCCTGGACCTGATGAAAGAATGGATCGCCCACACAGAGAAGCTGCCCCGCAAAGTGCTGCAGCACGTGAGTGCGACCCTGTCTCACCAGGAAGCCACTGCGGGAGCCACTCAGCTTGTGCGGACCTCAGACACCCAGTTAAGGAAACAGGAGAAACAGGAGTGTAGGCAACTGGCAAAAGACAGCTTCAAACCTAGAGGGACTAAAGATGAAGGACATTCAAAGCCCCCCTGGAGGCCCCCTGGTGGGAAACTAACTCAAAGCCAGGGACCTGCTCCACCAGTCAAGTAATATGGTTGATCCATTCTCATTAGCACTTAGCCCACGCTATAAACCCCAAAGGGGGATGATACATTGTTGAGAATTTCCTGCTTTCACTTCTAACTTTTCTGTAAGCTCTGAGCTGGCTGGAGTGTCCCCAACTCCATGAATTGCCCGAATAGGACGTTGGTAGAGGGTATCTCTGAGGAAGGGTGCAGATGCCAGGTCCTGCATGTACCAAGGCCACCACGGCGCCTGAAGGCAAGGCAGCATCTCCCTGTCTGACAGGGATGCTTCCGCTGTCAGAATGCAGGGAGAGTGGATAGGCTGACCTCTTCAGTGTGTTCAGTTCCCTGGGCCAAAGCAAAGCGATGAGTCTCCTTGGGAGATGAAACCCATAGCAGAAGCTAGGATCTCATTGTGTGGCTCAGGCCTGGTTTTCACAGCCTAGAGAAGGGCCAAACACTGTAAAATATGTCCTTGGCTTCTACATTTGCCAGAAGTAAGGTCTGACTGTTGGTTTTTCCCTTCACAGGGGACGACTTAGCTTCTGTACTGTTGCTTCCTCGGGGGGGACAGTCAAAAATAAAAAATGTTTTACCACCTCTCTGCCTGCATTGGTCTCCTGAAAGAAAATCTGTATCTCTCCTAAGGCAGCACAGGACACCTGGCTGTGCCAGGTCCCAGTGACTCATGCCTGTAATTCTAGCTACCCATGAGGCTAAGATCTGAAGGTCTGGGTTCTAAGCCAGACTAGGCAGAAAAGTCTGTGAGATTCATCTCCATTTAACCAGCAAAAAGCTGGAAGCTGAAATGTGGCTCAAGTGGTAGCTAGCCTTGAACAAAAAAGCCAAGAGAGCGCAAAGCCCTAGCGCATCGCGCACGTGCGCTCTCTCTCTCACACACATACACACACACCAGCAAAGCCCTTGCAGACATCAGAGTACCACTGCAGACAAGTGGGCACCCACCTCCAAAGGGCTCTACCTGTAGGAGTCACTTACCACAGGTCTATGGAGGGCAGCTTCTAGCTGTTTATCCAAGCCTGTAATGTAACCCCTTGAGACACCTGTTTAGACAAAACAAACAAAACAAAACAAAAAAACCCAAACAGTAACAACAACCAAAAAACCCTCTGAATTTGCTAGACAAATTTATAAACTGCCCTCTCCACGGAGCTGTTCCAGCCATTAAGATGGGCAGTGCAGGACTGAATGGCAGACATGGCTGGGCCGAGAAACCATGCAGGGACGCAGGCTTCATCATCGTCACTTTCTACTGGCCTCAGGCCAGGCGATCAGGAGCAGGGGGATCTCGAACTCCTCCTGTAAAGGTCGTCGTCCACAGTTTGCTGAATGACTGAAGAGTAAGGAAGAGGTGGAAAGCCGGTGCTGTTGGTGGCTGCACACGTGTGTGGGTTCAAGGTTAGTAAGCACTCAACAAAATAAATGTCCTTTGGGTTCCACCAAAGGACTCCATGAAACTACCTGGCTGGCTTCTCAGGACCAAGACAGAGAGCCAGCTGGGTGGCTCTGCAGACCTGCAGCTGCCTGGCTTTTAGGAGGGTTTCTCCTCTCCACATGCCACTCTACAGAGGAGCATGAACGAGGCAGATGGGTTGTCTGTGCCGTGGGCAGTCTGTTAGAACACAAAGGCTCTTAGAAGCCATTTACACGTCCTCCTCCAGCACCCAGGTAACCCCACTGCAGGCCCAAGGTTTCCATACCCTGGACACAAGGCCAGCGGAAACTGCTATACATCACCACAGCAGAGTAGTGCAAAACAATAAATTTTTATTTGTTCACAGTTAAACACAAGCAACTGCCTTGACATTTTAGAACATTCTAAGGACAGCAAACCCTTTGATTCCAATTTCCACTCACTGAGATTGTACCATGTTCTCTTGCAGTCTGTATTTATGGCATCTGATGTGGACTGACGTGCTTTTGAGGTGAAGGTGAGAAAGTTTAATCCTTTTGAGAAGAGGCAACTTTTCTCCATTTCACTAAAAGCAGTCAAAACATCGGATTCCATTCACTGATGGGATCCTTTAAACCGCATTAGCCGCCTATGGTTCATCATGATTGAGTTATAAAACTAGATTATGTCTTAGCAAAATCTGTTCCTCCGTAATGTATTTGTGGTCCATAGTTGTCTCCTCGAGTGAGCACTGATTCATCCTAGTGCAAGAGCCTGGCTGCCTCTGTGATGAGCCAGGCATGTGCTGTACAGAGCGGCACCAGACCCTCCCGTCCAAACACTGTGCAAGGTAGGGGAGCAGAGGGAGGGGCTGCTCAGGGGCCCTTCAATGCTTGAAAGATCTGTTCCGCTGGCTAAACTAGCCTACTCTCCTGGAGCATGGAGAAGGTTGCGGCACTGGGAGGGGTAGACAGCTTCTTGGCCTTCGTGAACTCATTTTGAGGCCAAAAGCCAAGGGCGGTGCAGGTTTCCCTCATGGCGGTAGCCCCCCCCCCCCATCCCCACCCCAGAGGTGAGCATTACTGGCTGCAGGGCACGAAGGTGAGAGATGAGGAACGCCGCTCCCAGGGCGTACTGGGAAGCCTGATGGAAATAAGAAGCCTGTTCTGGCCTAAACTTGTTCTTTAACCTTCACGAAAAAATTGAAATCACGGAAAATGGAGGACTGCAGCAATCCAGGGGAAGGGGACAAGGCCATGACACAGACCTCTGGATGTAAACAGATACACAAACCTCTTCCTACTGGCTTCCTTTTCCAATAATCCCTGCAGGTCAGTTTCAGGGCCTGGACCTCAGGAGGGCACCATCCAGATCACTGCAAACATGGCTGCTTGCTTCCTAGAGGGCCACTGGATGGGGCCAGGCTTCTCCTGGACCACACAGAGTGCCCAAGAGGGTGGGTGACACTCCATCTGCACTGCAGTGCGGGCCAGGCCTGTGCAGTGCCAGACCTCCCTCCAGCTTATCCACAGTGCCTCCTGCCCTGCCCTGACTGCCCAATAAGAATACTAGCATCCTCCCGTGGTGCTTTCCTTTGTGCTTCAGTTCTTTCTGGCTTCCCATAGTGTTTGGTGCAAAGTCCCACTAGCTGGTCCATGCACACTTCAGTTCTGTTACACAGAAATGCATGCCGGGCTTTCTTACTGCCAATTGTGTTCCAATTCCCAGGCCTGTCCATCCCACGCCACTATGGATATCCTCTGAACAACTGCTACAACAACAACTCTTTCTGCACTGAGAACTCCAGATGCTGCCGCAAGTGGCCAGAGCCAGGCACCTGTTGCCTGTTGCACTGCTTCCGCCCAGGGAGGCACTGGCCTCTGGCTATGGGCAGGCAACATGGGGACAGGGGCTAACTTTTCAAACTGCCAGTGGCTCCCAGGCCTTTTTCCTGGGTTATGATGGTTCTAAGAATAGTTTTACTATTTCCCCCTAATCACATCACATTCAGCAAGAACCTTCTGCAGCTGATTCCCAAGGTTAGGCAAGTCTTCTCTCCTGAAGGCTGTTGGCAAACCTAGAGAAGCCACCTGTCTTACCCAATGTTCCGAACACTGAGCTCCAAGGACACCTCTTAAAATCTCGAGCCAGTTTTCTTATGTTCACATATCTGTTCCCATAGCAACAGTGTTTGTGGACTTTCTGTGGAAGTTCTATCAGATACCAGCGTGTGCTGATGGACTGAGGTGGGCTCAGGAACTCCTTTTTGTCCACTTCTCCTTCCTGCTCTCTCACCCCCAAAATGATACTGCAGTGTTCCTTCTGGACACAGTCCGTGCTGCATGAGGCACAGATTCCAGGCTTCCCAGCTCACACTGACCCCAGATGGTGTCAGAAGGGAAATCTGAGTAACTTACGCATGTCAGCCATCACAGTGCTGGCTCCCAGTTGTTTGCACCTACCAAGCTACTTAATCAGTTTCAAGACAGACCTGACCTATTACATTATTTTTTCTAATACCTTTGCCTGAGCCTCAAATGCCTGTCAGAAGCTCCTCCCATCTCCTATCACTTTTTCATCCTCAAAATAAATGCTTGCAACTGTCAAGTGAACCCACTGAGTCCAAGCATCTATAGCTCTCAGAATAAAACTAGTTGAAATAAATCTGTGGTCTTCTAGAACTCAAAAGAGCACGAGCTGGAGTGCACTGGGAGGACTGGCTGCATAGCCAGGTATGGACACCCACACTGGAGGACCAAGCTGAGGGGCCCGGCAGAGCCTCAGAGGGGCTTCCTCTACCTCAGCCCACTCTACTATGCTGGGACCCTCGATTCAGGCCTCCAGCCTCCCTTCCCTGTATCTCACAAGCTGTCCATTTAAAGTAGCTTGTTCTTTCTTAGACTGCCTCCTTTCCTTTGCCATTTAAGGAGAAGCTTTGCTCTAGGAAGGGGGAAAGCAAATAAAACCAGGTTCAATAGTTCACCTGTAGCATTTTTCTCTTTCTGAATTTGTTCACACTATCCTTTTCTGAAATGGAACCAGAAAAACTACAATGTATTGGATTGTAAGCTTTCCTTTGGACAAAGCTGAATTAGAAGTGTGGCATCTCCAGTACCTCACTCTGGACATCCAGTGGCAATGGCCGGCCTCTGCGGGCTGAACAGTCAGCGGGCACCAGAAATCCTGACCCCAACTGGTCTTCAGCTGGAATTGCCATGGTGACACAGAATGTCATGTGGTCCAGCTGTCTTTAGTTAGGGAAGCTAGAGTATTTACTGCCACACTCAAAAAAAAAAAAAAAAGTCCACCCTCATACGCTGTAAGCTTTCATACGGAGTAAGATTTTGTACCATTACAGTTTTTCAACTTCTTCATGGCTGAACCTTTCGATTCTATTCTTTTCACATAAAGAATAGAAACAGGAAAGCCTAGTTCATTGGCTCTTTCCTGACAAACCTCTGCTTGCCTGGGTGGGAATACCAGGCAACAGTTCTTAGGCTTCTAGCATTTATTTCAGGAGCATATGTCGAGATTGTGTCCTTTGCTGCTGACTGGTGGGACGTCAGGAGCACGTGGGGCAGGGTCCAGGCAGTCAGACCTCATCAATACCCTCCTGGGTTCTGCTCTGCCATTCCTAACAGGGGAAAAGTGGGGGCAACACGAAGCTCCCAGCAATCAGCTTTGAAAGTCAGAACTGGTGGGAAAAGCTGCTACCTTTGCCCAGAAAAGCTGCTACCTTTGCCCAGAACTTACTATCATGAATCAGCCCTGAGCCTGAGAAATGCTGGTCACATAAACTCAAGACAACCTTCAGAGCCTCTTTGCTGCGGCTGCATCACAAAGCAGCTGACACATACAACTGGTGCAGGTGAACTCAAGGGGAAGCTGACAAGCCAAAGGGGTAACCAATGGCTCAGCCCAAAGGAATACTTTCACACCTGCAAGAGCTTCACTGGCATCTCCCCTTGCTGCCTGCAGAGAATAAGACTACCACCTACATGCCCACCTATGGGCAGCATGGTACCCGCATTCAAGCAAATACCAAATAAATAAGAGGTAGTGGGGGAAGGAGGGACAAGAGCTTTCCCAAAGGGCAAAGAAGTGCAGCCTCCACAGTGCCAGCTACACTGTCAAAACAACAGGCATTTGTTCACACTGAACTTTCAAGAAAGCCTATCAGAACCGCCAAAAGAATGTAAGGGTGAATGAACCATTGCTTTTCTAGATCTGCTGCTTTAGATGCTGAACTTCAAAAAGATATCAGTGAAAAGCAGTGCCAAGTCTCCTGTAAAAGCCTTCACATGACAATAACCAGCTTTGCAGGCTATGTCCTTCTGGAAGGGACAACACTGGACTTACCTGCAGTACCGCCAACTGCCTGGTCTAACCACGAGCCACCGTTATCTGAGCTTCAGGAAAGCAGAGAGTGGTGTGTTGGACTCACGATGAAATTTGGCCTCATATTGCACAGGTTCGATGGATGAAACCATTTGGGGGAAAGGAAGGAGGAAAATAAAGCTACTAAGGAACACACCACTGGCCCTCCATTAGTACAAGCTGCTAGGCAAATGAAAGACAGGTGTGGGGTGGGTGAGGGGAAGGTTAAGAGGCATTTCAATGCCAGATCCAAAAACCATTCTGCATTCGGTCAGCTACCAAAAGGACCTCTGTCTCATTTTCACCACACGTGAGCAGCCACGCAGACCCTGGAAATGGGAAAGCCTTGAACGTGCATTCACACCTCCTGTTCTATGCCAACGAGATGCAAGTTAACACTGACTGACCCTCCTCCTTAGCTGTGTTCGTGATGACTCTCATTGTAGTCCATAATACGAAGCTGTCCAACACTGTCCGGGGCTGGGGGAGACAGATGGGGACCATCTAGGTTGAGGGGACTCTTGGCTTCCACACCTGAGTCTTTGCCCTGTTCTGTCTTTAGAGTCTCAGAAAGGCTACTGATGGTCATGCCGTCTTCATCACACTGGCTCTCGCTCTTGTTACGGAATAGCTCCCGGGCCTTCATGCCCAGGAAGCTTTTGGAACTGGGCAGTGAGCCCACTGTTGGGATGCTGGTGGAGGGCTCGCCCACAGTGGTGTCCCACCAGCTGCTCAACGGGCCTGCCTTCTGGCTTGGGGGCTTCTCTGGGGTAGAAAGCTCACTGCTGCTGCTGCTGCCTCCAGCTCCTCTAGCTCCATAACTGCCCCGGATACCACTGGGCCTGGGGGTCTTGGCCTCACCGTTGTGCCCAGATGCCTCTTCGTTGTGCCCTGCCACGGAATCTGAGCAGCCGTCATTACAACAGTCAAGCCTGTAAAAAAGATCCAAGGAGGAAAAAAGGAGTTGGTGACTGTGGCATCCAATGGGAGCTGTGCAATTACTGGATCCTCCATGGAACCTGAACTCTGCTTGCCTGCTCTGTTTTGCAACAACAAAGCCAGTCAAGAGTCTCATCAAGAGAAACTTAAGCATGACTCGTGAGTCTGGATGGCAGTCTACAATACAAGCAGCAGATCAGGAGGCAAGTTAGTGAAGGCAACTCTCTGAAAAGGAGCGGGTTGAGTGCTACAGCCCTGACCAGAGGAACTGCCATGCCCCAGGCCACAACACGATCCACCTTCATCACAAGCTTTGTTGAAACTCTTAGCTCCTACCTTTCTTCCGCTGCCTCTGCTGCCTCTGCTTTTTCCTCATCAAGTTTTTGCACGAGGTCATCTTTCTCCAACCTGCCATACAAGTCTAAGATCTCCAACTCAAACATCTGGGTGATCCGTTTCTGAGTCTCATACCTGCTCTCTGCGGCCAGCAGCTGTCCGCTGAAAGACACAGACCCACCGGAACATGAAGGGTGTACTTCATAAAGAGCCCATCATTGCCCGGTCCTTTCTGATGAAAGTTACCTTGCCTGGCTCTTGACATCCTCCAGGTATTTCTTCTGTTCTAGAAGAAGATGGTCTTTCTTGGCCAGAAGAGATTCCAGTTCCAAAATCCGTTTCTGGGAGGTATCGAGCCTCTGATTCTGCTGGAGAACGTGGCTTCTGTTTTTTTCTAGCTCTTTCCGATATGCTGCTTTCATCATTTCTACTTCCTAAAAAAGAGATTGGAGAAAATTAACAAGCCATATCTACTCTGAAAGCCATATCATCAATGTTGAGAAGACACTGCACGTGGTAGAAAGATGAATGAGGTAACTCTCTGGAAAGCAAGTTGGTGAATATTAACCCAGTGACCCTTCCTTGAGATCTAACCCTAAGGAAAGTACCTTGCCATGAATTGGTTTCTTAGGAAGGTAATAAATCATAAGGTGTAAGGAAGTGAACTTTCGCCATAGCAACCTGACCTGGAATCTAACGGGGAAATCCAATACTTTCGGGTATAGCATATCATGGACTGAGGCTCTGAACTGGCTGGCAGACAATGTGGCTGCATCAGTTGTGCTGCATGGCTCCAGTCTTCAGCACAGGCTATGTGACCAGCTCTGACATTTACCTAAGCAACAGCAGTCAGCCCTCTCACACAGAGCTCTACTCAACTAACCCAAAATGGGAAATAATTTTTAAAATGGTGTCTGTGCTGCATATGGACATACTTTCTGGTCATTACACCCTGTAACAACTATTAATGCAGCACTGACACTGTATCAGGTACTTCTATGTGATGAGAGATGATTAAAGTATGAATGAGGATCCGAATGGATTAACTATAAACACCATGCCATTCTATATGAGGGAATTGACCATCTGTGCGTATGGCTATCTGTGGGACCCTAATACAAGGTATTGAACCAGGAATACCCATGTGCTCTTATTGCCCCTCACCAGCCTGACCAGCCCTTCTCTACTTTACTCTCCTCCACTGGATGAATGAGTACGTCCAGGCTCCAGGCCCAGAGGCCAAGCCTGGCCAGTTTAAGACTATGACAGGGTAGAAATGAGCAGCACTCAGTCCTGGAAGGATGGAAGTATGTAGAACATTTCTGGGAAAGGTTTCTCACAGACCAAGACCAACAAGAAGAAACCTTCTCCTCTTCCTTAAGATATCACAGTGTCTTCCTAGGACATGTGTATACGTAAGTACACAGCTGGCAAGTGTAAGCACAGCTAGCCAGAGAATACTAAGGCTGACAGGTAACTAGAGCAGGCAGTGGCATGAGAAGAACCTAGTTCCTGGATGTTCTTTCCAAACTGCCAACCTGACTAACCTGGGACTTCTTGTCAAGAGAAACAATAAAACTCTGTGGCAAATCAGTGTCTGACTTACTAAAGAAAGTATCCTGACTAATAAATCAAGATATCATCATCACCACTGTAAAACACACCCCAAAGAGTCTGAGGTTGCCCAATATAACCCTACCTCTCTGAAGCTGTCAAAAACATGTTTCAGCAAACACCTTTCAGAGGTCTCTTTAGTCTGTTCACCACCTTTCTTCTCCCAAAGCCCTTCTGTCTCCAAAATAAGTAAGCTGGTTTCTAGAGAGAAAGTTCACATTTAACATCCTCCCAGAGGCTGAGTCCGGATCTAAGGCTGAGAGGAGCTGAGAAACAAGGAGCAATTCAACTATGAAAATTAAGTTTCCCTCATTCTAAGATGACGGTCTCCATTTGGCCAAAAAAGATGCTTTAGAAAGTATAAGCCCAAGAAACCCTAGAAGCCCATGTGTGATGGAGGAACTAGTGACAGGAAGCGTCTGAGCATTTACTATTAAAATTCCATTCCCAGTTCCTTCACTAACATTACCCGAGGCTATCAGTAAAGTGACATGGAACTTCTGTCTCTACGCCACTGGTGAGGCACTAATTAATGTACGAGCGTCCCATTGTTGGCCTTGTTGCCAGGACTGCACGACCACAGGCAGAAACGAGACACACCATGAAAAGGAAGAAAAGATGGCGCATACCAGTGCACCCTACCCACATCCCACCCTCATCTCTTCTGGATGTCCCTGGAGGGGGCATGGAGAAGAAAGGGAGAGAAACACCTTCACACCTACTCTGCAGCAATACCCCAAAGCCACACAACAAGGAGACAGGCAGGCACTCCCATGATGGCTTGGCCGTGTGTGCAGCAGGGCGGGGGGTGGGGTGGGGATGATATAGTGGAACAGCCATTCCATGTGATGGGCTGCCTGGGTCTGCAAAGCTTTTCCAGCTCAGTCCCACACCCCTAACCCACACAGAACCCCATACCTTGGTGGTATCCGAATGCTTGCTCTGCAACTGCTCCAGATACAGCTCGTTGACCTCCCCAAGCACCAATAGCTGCCTGTTTAAGAATTCCATCTGCTGCTGGACCGACTCACTATTTGAGAGCTAATCAAAACAAAATAAGCAAGGTGAAAATCCAATAACCCCAAATGAGCAAATAGGTATTAAACAGGGAACCATCAGGAAGCTTAAGTGCCTCAAGCTAGGGCACAGTGAGCAGGGCCCATGATTCCCAATACTCTGACAGTATGGCTGGTAGGGCAGGAGGCACCCAAAGGCAATGCAAATGGACTTCAAAACTATACTAAAAAGAAGCATAAAATGAATCTCATCACCCAGAAAACACTGGAGCAGACAGGCAGAATATAGGATGGAGCTAGAGGAAAATCACCTATTTCTGAGTAACAACCCCAAAGTGTGGGTGGTATCACAGTCCCCAAACTGTAATATTATCTACTTACGTGAACAAGGTGTCAAGAATGGGTTCCATGGAGGCTGGGAAGATGGCTTAGTGGTAGAGTGCTTGCCTAGCATGCATGAAGCCCTGGTTTGATTCCTCAGTACCAAATAAACAGAAAAGGCTGGAAGTGGCTCTGTGGCTCAAGTGATAGAATATAAACCTTGAGTACAAGAAGCTAAGGACAGTGCTCAGGCCCTGAGTTCAAGCCCCAGGACTGGCAAAAAGAAAAAAAGAAGAAGAAAAGAAAACAAAGAGTTCCATGGGACATGCATGGCCCAGAGCTCAGTGGAGGCTTCTCTGCTGTGGGGCTATGTGTCCTACCCACTCACTGACAGTAACATGGAATGAATCTAGACATTGCCAAATAGTCCCCAGAAAATGGGGAAAGGGAACAAAATCCTTTACTGCTGTTTCCCCGACACAGATACTCAATTAATATACCTGTCCCATCTGAAGGAAGAAGGGCAAAAGGTATGTCTTATGTCTTACCTTTTGAGAAACCTGGCTGAGCAGCAGCTCCGTGTGACACACCTTGTTATTGGCCTTCTTCAGCTCTATCCGCAACTCTGCAATCATATTCCTACAGTCCTCCAGCTTTGTCTACCAAAGAGATATGGTTGTGAAGTTAAGGCATCACTGATAGGCCAGTCCTCTTGTTTGCTGGGTGAAGAATGGGCATGCCTCATTCTCCAACTGCTTTCCTATTCCTGACTTACTCGAGTCCCCTTTCTTTCCTTTTCTGTCTTTTCCTTCCTTCTTGCTCTCTTTCTTATGTCTTTTTTCTTTTCCTTTTTTAATATAGGGTTTCACTATGAGTCCCAGGTGGCCTGGAACTTGTTATGCAGCCTGAGCCTCCCAAGTGCTGAGATTATGGGTGTGCAGACCACACCTGGCATTTGACTTTTTAATTTTAAAAAGTTGTGGTTGATTTCTTAGTTCCTTCCTATTTAACAACAGGAAAAAGAGACCCGGTACTTGCAGTTCCCAAACTGTATGTAAAAGAGCCCTGAGGCTATCTATGCAGCAAACAGAGATCTGCCAAGCCCTTGTGCTTTTTTGAAGGGAGCACAGCGCCATCTGTGGGTCAGCATGTGCACTTACAACTAGGCAGAGGATATACAGGGCAGTAGTAGATAGTACTGAATATTTGCGAATAATGTCGTACCTTGCAAAACCTGTCTTTTTGGTGAACATGGTGATTTAAAAAAAAAGCACCATAGCCGGGTGCCGGTAGCTCACACCTGTAATGCTAGTTACTCGGGAGGCTGAGATCTGAAGATCGCAGTTCAAAGCCAGCCCAGGCAGGAAATTCTGTGAAACTCTTATCTCCAATAAACCACCAGAAAACCGGAAGTGGCGCTGTAGCTCAAGTGGTAGAGCTCTAGCCTTGAGCTGAAGAGCTGAAAGACAGCGCTCAGGCCCAGAGTTCAAGCCCCCCAACCGAAGAGGGGAAAAAAGCATCATGAATAGCAGATATAGAAAAGAAAATGAAGCCGGGCGCCAGTGGCTCACGCCTGTAATCCTAGGTACTCAAGAGGCTGAGATCTGAGGATCATGGACAGGAAAGTCCATGAGATTTATTTGTCTCCAATAAACTACTCAGAAAAGGCCAGAAGTGGCACTATGGCTCAAGTGGTAAAGTGCTAGCCTTTAGCACAGAGAGGCTCAGAGACAGAGCACAGGCCCTTAGTTCAAGCAGGACCAAAACCAAAAAAAAATAATAAAGTTGTATGATACCAACAGGTGTACATGTGCACAGGTTACTTAAATATCAGATTTAAAATAGTTTAAATATATACGCAGTACTTTAAGGCATCTGTTAAATCATTAGGCCATCCACACTCATTGAGTTCTTCAGACCTACTTACTTAGTGGTACTGCCAAGTATTTCTTTTGACTCAAGAGTGCCAGGGCACTAAGGGAGCCATGAACCAAGAAAGTTGGGAAATTTATCTGCCATTTCAGAGAAGAAAATATTCAGTTCAGTTAAGCTGAATAAGACGACAACACTGGGGCTGGGAAGGTGGCTCAGTGGTAGAGCGCTTCCCTTGTATGCATGAGGCCCTGGGTTCAATTCCTCAGCACCACCTAAGCAGAAAGAAAAAAGCCGGAAGTGGCGTTATGGCTCAAATGGTAGAGTGCTAGCCTTGAGCTGAAGAGCTGAGGGATAGCGCCTAGTCCCAGAGTTCAGGCCCCACAACCGGACCCCCCCCCCCCCCAAAAAAAGAGGACAACACTTATCAAGTTGTGTCTCCTTCCAATCCGCTGTAGTTTTTACCTGTAACTCCTGGCTCTGGTTGTAGAATTCTTCGCGGTCATGTTGTAGCTGGCGGATCTGGCTGTGAAGCTGGGTTACCACTGTGTCACGCTGCTCTTGAAGTTGACTGTATCTGGCTTGTTCTTTCTGCAGACTCACCTTCCATATCTGGATGTCTTTCTCTTGCAACTTCAACTGATCTTTCTAGCAGAGACCAGAGATGCCATTATATTAGCTGCCATCCAGCATAGGTGGTGATGCTCAAGGGTAACGCATACCATAAACATTTCTCCAGTGATCACTCAACTCACCTTAGAACTACTCAAGAGTCTCAGAGCTCACTCTTATCCTAGCTTTAGATCAGGCTTTTCCAAATTTCACACTTGGCAAATGGATCTTAAGTTGCTTAAGAGAGTTTTCTCAGGTATAAACATCTCTGATGCTCTCAAAAGTCCTAGCTATCAACATTGGAATGAGGCCTCTAATATGCAGCACTGGTAAAGTTCGCTAAAATGCTAAAATTTACCAAATGCTTACAGTGCGCCAGGCACAGTAGTGAGCCAGCATGATCCTAGCAACTGAAGAGGCTGAGATCTGAGAATCATGGTTCAAAGTCAACCTGGAGAGGAAAGTCCCCAAGACTCTTATCTCCAGTTAACCAACAGAAAACCAGAAGTAACACTATGGCTCAAAGTGGTAGAGTGGCTAGCCTTGAGTGAAAAAGTCAGAGATAGCATACAGATAGTCCTGAGTTCAAACCCCATGACCAAAAAAACAAAACAAATCAGTAATGAAGCTTCAGAAGGCCTGATTACTTTTCTGAGATAACAACTGGTAGAGCCAGCATTGAAATTGCTATGCCTATGACATCATTCATGCTTCAGTTCTATGTCATGAATTAGCTCTACGGGGGTTAGTTTCATATCAGAAGAAAGAAAACACAGCTTTGGACCTTTTCTATCATCATAGTCAATTACAGGCAAACACAAAGTCACTTGTCCCATGGTTTCTGAGAATTAGGAGGGAATTGTGAGATCTATTATTCACATTTAACCTTCAGTGCCATCCACTGCAGTGAGCATGACAAGACTCTGATTGTGACTTCACCACTCTTTCTGGGGTCCCACAGGACACAGCCCAGAACAGAACAAGGGTCCCCACCGCACCACGGCAGCACTGACTGGGGTTATTCCCCACCTCACCACGGCAGCACTGACTGAGGTCACCCCCCACCTCACCACGGCAGCACTGACTGAGGTCACCCCCCACCTCACCATGGCAGCACTGAGGTCACCCCCCACCTCACCACGGCAGCACTGACTGAGGTCACCCCCCCACCTCACCACGGCAGCACTGACTGAGGTCACCCCCCACCTCACCACGGCAGCACTAACTGAGGTACCCCCACCCCCCACCTTACCACGGCAGCACTGACTGAGGTCACCCCCCACCTCACCACGGCAGCACTGACTGAGGTCACCCCCCACCTCACCACGGCAGCACTGACTGAGGTCACCCCCCACCTCACCACGGCAGCACTGACTGAGGTCACCCCCCACCACACCACGGCAGCACTGACTGGGGTTATTCCCCACCTCACCATGGCAGCACTGACTGAGGTATCCCCACCCCCCACCGCACCACGGCAGCACTGACTGAGGTCACCCCCCACCTCACCACGGCAGCACTAACTGAGGTACCCCCACCCCCCACCTCACCATGGCAACACTGACTGAGGTACCCCCCCCACCTCACCACGGCAGCACTGACTGAGGTCACCCCCCACCTCACCACGGCAGCACTGACTGAGGTACCCCCACCCCTGCCATCTCACCATGGCAGCATTGTGTTCCTCCAGGGCCGCTGCTCTGATCACCTTGCGCAGGAGCCTCCTGTTCCGGAGCGCGTGCTGCTGCCTCTTAAAACGCTCATAGAGTAATTGGTTGTGCAGTAAAAGCAACTGGTCTCGAAGGGTGCGGATCTCATCTGAGGGAGGAGAGCCTGATTTTAAAGCAGAGGGAGGGTGGCGGAAATGCTTTTTATATATGGTTCCATGAAACCCCTTCCCTTAGTGTAAGAAACAATTCTGCTAAAACCAAATCACTATGCAAATGACCGACCAGTTGGTTCCCACCAACAGCTGCTGGCAGGAGGAGGGATGAAACTTTTCACTTGTCTCCTTGTTATTTTTATTTTTTGGGGGGCGTGATGGTGGTGGTGCCAATCCTTGGGCTTGAACTCAGGGCCTGGGTGCTTTCCCTGAGCTTTTTTGCTCAGAGCTAGCCATCTATCACTTGAGCAACAGCTCTACTTCTGGCTTTTTGGTGGTTAAGTAGAGATACAAGTTTTATTGACTTTCCTACCTGGGCTGACTTCGAACCATGATTCTTAGATCTCAGCCTCCTGAGTAGCTAGGATTATAGGTGTGAGCCTATTAAGCCAATGCCCAGTCCGCTGTCCAGTGCCTAGGTCCTGTCTTCCTTTTAAGATAACGCACCCCCAATTTTGCACATATTCCAGACTGCCTTGGTCTCTGTGTAGCTGCTCCTTGGCTACTGGGCTCACCTGTACCCAGAGAAGATCCCAGCATGTCTATGTCATATGGGAAGTGGGTGTGAAGTCTGCACCCATTGAATTTCTACTCCCAAGTGCACAGCACTTGTTACTTTTCAAAATAGGAAATGCTTAGTCTACAACTCCTGGGATCCTTGCACCAAGCTTATAAGCTGGCCAAAGTGGGAGCCCCAGGTCACGCTTCCTTCAAGGTCAGAAAAGGAACAAGAAAGTAGGGACCAGTGGATATAGCACTAAAGTAACAATTTTACCTCCAAAGTGGGTCCAGTCGACAGACTTGCTGGGTAAGGACAACCTAGGAAGAAGTTTTAAAATAATGAAGTTTCATATCAGAGCTAGAAAAAATTATCTCAACTTTCAATTGCAACAAGACTGCATCACTTCCTTATGGTCAGAATCTTCAATTACCTAAGAAAATGTCAAACTCTTCTAAGTTCGCCTGAAGTTGGGGCCTTAGAGGAAAGAACAAGTAGGCATCCTAATGCACACAACCCATCTCCAAAGAGGAGGAGCCACAACACCAATCCCATGGGCTCAATTGTGGCCTGGGTCTTGGGGTCAATTTGCCAAGGTGCTGAGTGGAAAAACACGGCTGCTTCCAGCCTTCTCTGTGGAGACACTCAAAGAGTAGCTCTCTCTGGAGAAGCTCCTGACACAGGTCTTAAGACAAAAGCAGGTCATTTTTCTGAGCCTGTTATACCAAGTCTCACTTACAAAGAGGAAGTTTGAGTAAAATTATTGTCACATTCCACAGAGGCTATTATAGGCAAGAAAGATAAGAACTAACATTCCCCAAGAGCTTGCGCAGAAATGGCAGAGGAGTCCAACTTTGGACAGGTTAGTCTCTTCCCTGGAAAGCCCTGAAAAGGGCAATAAACAAAAGCTAAAACTGAACCTGGTTGCCTTTGTGGGAAGGGGTAGCATTAGGCCATTTGAATTTTCATAAAATATTGATGACTTGCTCTTCTAGCTAATGAACTACGTCAGAAAACATTAACAAATATTCCTATATTCTTTGAGATACCACTTTGGTATAAAAAAAGCCTTTTTGGTTTTTTATTTTGGTTCAAGTTATACCACTTGAACTCAGGAGTTACACCACTTAAGCCCTCAACTCTATTTGGTTTAAGTTTATTTCTTTAGTTTATTTTTCAGAAGGATCTCATCATTTTGCCAGCGCTAGCCTGGGAGTACAGATGATATGTACCAGCAAACTTGGCTTGCTTTTTGAGATAGGGTCTTGTTAATTTTTTGCTCCAGTGGCCTGCAGACTGTGCTCCACCTATCTCTGCCTCCCCAGTAAGCAAGATTTATATGACACTACACCCAGCATAACATACATGTGTATATGTGTGTGTGTGAGTGTGTATGTGTATGGGTGTGTGTAGCGGGGGAGGGATAGGCAGGTGCTCTACCAACTTGAGCCACAGCACCACTTCTGGCTTCTTGCTCGTGAATTGGAATCAGATTTTTGGAGTCTCACAGATTTGTCTGCCTGGGCTGACTCCAAACCACGATCCTAGATCTCATCTCCTGAGTAGCTAAGATTACAGACACGAGCCACTGGTGCCCAGCTTATAACCGAATTTTTAAACTCCAGTTTTCAGAAAGCAAATATAAAAACATCTGACCCCTCTAACAGAACAATGGCACAAGAAAGAAACCTCATTTTAAAATAAAAAGCTATGTAAGGGCTCATCCAAGTACATGTGCCCTCACTCCTAGACAATGACAAGCCACAGATTGAATTCGAAGAGCACACAAGAGAACCCAATAACCTCTGGGTATGAATGGCAAGAGCAACTTCTGCCTGCACTTTTGTGCTTTCTGTACTTCCTGACAGAAAAGCCTAGATCCCCTGGGGCTTACTGACTTGTTCAGTTCCTTGCTATGTGCGTCTGCTCCCTGCTGTATCAGCCTGTCCAGTACTTCCATTGGGGAGGTAGAGGGCACGTAGTCTTCCTCAGGGCTTCCTTTCACCTTCTTTAACAGCTCCTCAGTTTTCTTGCTGACAAAGTAACGGGCAGTCTTTGGCAAGGCCACCTCGAAGAGATGATCATATGGGGGAGGCTGTGTACTTCCAAAGCCCGTACCCTTATGAGGCGGGATTTTGCAAGGGCTGGGAGTGAGGATACTGGTCTCCAGAGAAGTCTGGCGGTCCCTGTCCTCAGCAGGGCTGGAGTCAGCACCTCCACAGGGCAGGTCAATGGGAGTAAAGGCTTGCTTTGGTGTGTCAGGCCCACGCTTGTCCAGGGAGGAGTGGAAGGGTTCAGGGTTCACAATGGAGCCCCGAGTCCCTGATGGGGCTGAACATGTTTTCCGCTGAGAACCTGGGAGACTGTCTCGGTAGAATGGAGAGTCAAAACCTCCCCGAGGAACCACAGGATCCGCCTCTGCAGTGGTGATCTCAGAAAGCTCTTTAGATATTGCAGCTGAAACGAGGACAGAAAACAAGACAAGGCCTAGTAAACATTCAGTGTAAGCACATCTGACAGAGGTCCCAGGAAAAAACACCCACCATTAATCACCAGACAAGAAAACACAACCAAGCTGTGCATGCTGACGCTAGAGCCAGTTCTGTGGGATACTGTACCTTCTTCCTTATCTTTTTCAATACTGTCTTCCTCAGAGGCCAGATCACCCAAAAACACCGGAAGATCACTTAGAGTAACAGAACCTTTGCTTCCATGTAGCTCTTCTGAAGAGAAACAGAGACAATTCCAGTCAAATAAATATGAGTAAGTACAAAGCTGCTTGTGTTACAATCAAACGTGCATGTGATCATTCTTCCTGCCCGTTAGAGGCTGGAAATGACCCTCTTCTGAGGCTACCTCAAAAGGCTATGGTAGGGGGGGGACCAAGATGGCGACGGGGCAGTAGGGAAACGCCACAGCTCTCTCCAACCAAAAAGAGAGTTCGAGTTCCAACGTTTAATCTCCCCAAGAGACCGACAACAACAAAAAGACGAACACTCAGAGAAAAACCAGAGGTGGAAAATAACAAAAAAAGAAAGAGAGGAAAAGAAGAATTTCAGAACAGAGAAGAGCGAAGACCCCTCCCCCAACCTTTACTGGCCGCGCAGCAGTGTGCCAAGCCGCCGGCCAGCTGGCCCGGCGGGGGCTGCCGGAGCCACAGAGACACAGGGGGCTTCTTGCAGATCACCAGGTACCGGATTGCAGAACAGCGGATCGCCAGGAACAGAGAAACCTACCAGCCGGGAGTCTCCACGAGGATCCCACCCCCACCCCTCACTCTCCACTGGAGCGGAGAGGCTCCATACCGCCAAAGCAGCCCGGCACCAGCAGCGCGACAAAGGGACCTGTCCGCAGACCACCCGCCCAATCGCGATCGCAACTACCAGGCGGGGGGCCGCCCAACCCAGCCCGCAACCACCCCAACTGAACTCGGATTGCAACAACAACTGACGACCTACAGGAATCAGCAACCAAGCAAAGACAGACACACCAAAACAAGATTGAAGAGCAGTCTCCTGAACCCCCATGCGAAAATCACAGAGAAAAATCACAAGGTTTACCACTACCCAGGACAGCAAGCTCACCTCAAAAGCCAGCAGCCACACAGGGGAGAGCCCCAGTGGGAGCAAAGCAGGAATGGAAGACAAAAACTACATCCAAGGGTTGCTGGAGGCAATGACTCAAGAAATAAAGCGAGAAATGGATCAGAAATTGAAAGAGCACAAGGATGAACTATCAAAAGATATACAGGACATCAAACAAAAGTTGGATGCAAAAATAGAAGCGGCACAAACCTCAGTAAGAAGTGAGATAAACGCCAAATTAGAGGTAATGCATACTGATCTCACCTCATTGAGAGGTGAGATCAGTACTCTGAGAACCAACATTGAATCCATAAAGGGATCCATTTCCACCATGCAAACCACAATAGAAGCCACAGTCAACAGAGTGAATGAAATGGAAGGTAGAGTGTCAGATACAGAAGACAGAATACACCAACTGGACCAAAAAGTGACAGATATGGAAAAATCACTCAAATTAAACCAAAGGGAAATTCAAGAGCAAGCAGATAATGCTAAAAAATTTAACCTTCGCATAATCGGAGTGGACGAAGGTGAGGAATTCCAGAGCAAGGGAATGCAACACCTATTTAACAAGATAGTCAATGAAAATTTTCCCCACCTCAAAAACGACCATCTTAACTACATCACAAAAGCTTATCGAACACCCAACAAGCAAGATCCCAGGAGAAACACTTCTAGGCACATTATAGTAAAAATGATGGATCTGAATAATAAGGAAACAATCCTGCATGCAGCAAAAATGAAGAAGGAGCTATACTACAACGGGAAAAAAATTAGAATCACTGCAGATCTCTCCACACAAACAATGAATGCAAGAAAAGCCTGGGAAAGCACCATACGAGCCCTGAGAGCCAATAACTGCCAACCCAGACTGATATACCCGGCAAAGCTAGCATTCACATTCGATGGAGAACTGAAAACTTTTAATAGCAAAGAAAAACTAAATGAATACATAAACATTAAGCCAGCATTACAAAGAATTCTAAGAGGGGGGACACAACCTGAAGAAAGCAACCAGGAACTGGGACCTGCCCCAAACAGGCATTACTCAAAGTCTAACTGAGCAAGCACAGGAGGAAAGGAAAGAAGAAAAACTTAGGAAAACGGAATGGCAGGGACAACAATGCATCTCTCTATACTTTCTCTTAATATAAATGGGCTGAATTCGCCAATTAAAAGAAAACGAACTGAGGACTGGATCAGAAAACAAGACCCATCCATCTGTTGCCTTCAGGAGACCCACCTCTCAGCCAAACATACAAACAAACTCAGAGTGAAGGGGTGGAAAAGGATCTACCAATCAAATTCCCCCAATAAGAAAGCAGGTGTAGCTATCCTGATATCTGACAAAATAAACTTTTCATTAAAATCAGTACAGAAAGACAAGGACGGACACTACGTATTAATAAAGGGAACAATCCAAGAGGAGGGTATAACCATCATCAACTTATATGCCCCAAATATCGGTGCACCCAGATATGTTAAACAAATGCTCTCAAAGTTACAGAATAAAATAGATCCCAATACGATAATACTAGGAGACTTTAACACGCCACTCTCACCAAAGGACAGGTCTACCAACCAGAGGATTGGCAAAGAAGCTACCGAATTAAGTGAGGCCATACCTCAAGCGGAATTAACTGACATCTACTGAGTATTTCACCCTAAAACAACACAGTACACATTCTTCTCAGCAGCTCATGGAACTTTCTCCAAAATAGACCATATCATAGTTCATGCAAGGAACTTAAGCAAATACAAAGGGATCGACATAATCCCCTGTATCCTATCTGACCACAGTGGAATCAAGCTAGCTCTCAATAACAAAGCATACCGCAGAAATTTCTCTAATACATGGAAATTGAACAGCACACTCCTTAACAAGGCCTGGGTAACAGAAGAGATCAGAGAAGAAATAAAGCATTTCCTACAACTCAATGAAAATGAAAACACCTCACAAAGAAACTTGTGGGACACAGCAAAAGCAGTCCTGAGGGGCAAATTTATTGCCCTCAGTGCCCACATCAAGAGAATGGAGACAGACCAAGTAAATAATCTCATGTTGCAACTAAAACAGCTAGAAAAACAAGAAAAAATGGGACCTAAAGCTACTAGACGAAGCCAGATAACCAAATTGAGAGCAGAGATTAACCAATTAGAAAATCAGAAAACCATAACCAAAATAAACCAAACAAAAAGCTGGTTCTTTGAAAAAATAAACAAAATTGATGGCCCGTTGGCAAGATTAATTAAAAAAAGAAGAGAGGAAACCCATATTAATAGGATTAGGGATGCCACGGGAAACATCACAACACGTACCCAAGATATCCAAACAATTCTAACAGACTACTTTCAAAAGCTATACTCTCTAAAGGAAGAAAATCTGGCGGAAATGGATGCATTTTTAGAGAAATACAAGTTACCCAAACTGAGCAAAGAAGAAGTTAACCAATTAAATAAGCCAATATCCTATAATGAGATACAGGAAGCTATCAAAAGTCTTCCAACAAAAAAAAGCCCAGGACCAGATGGATTCACAGCAGAATTCTATAAGACCTTTAAAGAAGAACTAATACCCATACTCCTCAAGCTCTTCAGAGAAACAGAGAAGGAGGGAGCTATCCCAAACTCATTCTACGAAGCCAATATCACACTCATCCCCAAACCAGGCAAAGACCCAACCAAAAAGAAGAATTACAGGCCAATCTCCTTGATGAACACAGATGCAAAGATCCTTAACAAGATTCTAGCTAACAGAATCCAGAAACACATTAAAAAAATAATACACTATGATCAGGTAGGCTTCATCCCAGAGACACAGGGATGGTTTAACATACGTAAGTCAATAAATGTAATCCAGCATATCAACAGAGCCAAGGTCAAGAATCACATGATTATCGCCACAGATGCAGAAAAGGCCTTTGATAAAATTCAACATTCATTCATGCTAAAAGCTCTGGAGAAAATAGGAATAGAAGGAACATTTCTAAAAACAATAGAAGCCATTTATGACAGACCAATAGCCAATATTATACTTAATGGGGAAAAGCTACAACCAATCCTCCTAAAAACAGGAACAAGGCAAGGATGTCCACTGTCTCCACTCCTCTTCAACATAGTCCTAGAACCCTTAGCCAGGGCAATAAGGCAAGAAAAAGACATTAAAGGGATCTGCATAGGGAAAGAAGAAGTTAAACTATCCCTTTTTGCAGACGACATGATACTATACCTCCACGATCCCAAAAACTCCATCCCCAAACTTTTAGAAATCATAAGTCACTTCGGCAAAATAGCAGGATACAAAATAAACCCACAAAAATCAGTTGCCTTCCTATACACTGATAACGCACAGGAAGAGAGGGAAATAAAGGGAGCAACCCCATTCACAATAACCTCCCAAAAAATAAAATATTTAGGAATTAACCTAACCAAAGATGTAAAAGAACTATTTAATGAGAACTATAAAAAGTTAAAGAAAGAAATTGCAGAAGACACTAGGAAATGGAAAGACCTCCCATGCTCCTGGATAGGCCGACTTAATATAGTAAAGATGGTGATACTTCCAAAACTAATATACAAATTCAATGCAATTCCTATTAAAATCCCAATGACGTACATCACTGAAATACAGAAAACAGTCCAAAAATTTATATGGAACAACAAAAGACCTAGAATAGCCAAAACAATTCTAGGGGATAAAGACAATATGGGAGGGCTATCCATGCCGAACTTCAAACTCTACTACAGAGCTATAATCACAAAGACAGCATGGTACTGGCACAAAAACAGACCCGAAGACCAATGGAACAGAATAGAAGATCCAGATATAAATCCACAGGCCTACAGCCAGCTGATATTCGACAAAGGAGCCAAAGACATACAATGGAAGAAACACAGCCTCTTCAACCGCTGGTGCTGGGAAAACTGGGCAGCCACATGCAGAAAACTAAAAGTGGACCCCAGCCTATCACCATGCACCAACATCAACTCAAAATGGATTAAAGACCTTAACATTAAACCTGAATCTCTGAAACTACTACAGGACAGAGTAGGAGAGACACTTGAACTAATAGGCACAGGAAGGAACTTCCTGAACAGAGTCCCAGGGTCACAACAAGTTGGAGAGAGACTCGACAAATGGGACTACCTTAAAATAAAAAGCTTCTGCACAGCTAAATCTATCGCAACTAAGCTAGAAAGACAACCAACTAATTGGGAAAAAATATTTACCAGCAATATATCAGACAAGGAGTTAACATCCTGTATATACAGGGAACTCAAGAAACTAATCCCTCCCAAACCTAACAAACCAATTACTAAATGGGCAAGGGAACTAAAGAGGGACTTCTCAAATGAAGAAATAAAAATGGCAAAGAAACACATGAGGAAATGTTCATCATCCCTGGTGGTGAAGGAAATGCAAATAAAGACAACCCTGAGATACCACCTTACCCCAGTCAGAATGTCCCACATCCACAAATCAGCCAACGACAAATGCTGGAGGGGATGTGGAGAAAGAGGAACCCTATTACACTGCTGGTGGGAATGTACACTTATACAACCACTTTGGAAAGCAGTCTGGAGGGTCCTTAGAAAGCTAAAGATTGACCTCCCTTACGACCCAGTCATACCACTTCTAGGCATCTACCCTGAACAACAGGAACCAATATACAAGGACACGTGCACCTCCATGTTTATTGCAGCACTGTTCGCAATAGCTAGGATATGGAAACAACCTAGGTGCCCCACCACAGATGAATGTATCCAAAAATTGTGGTATCTATACACAATGGAATATTATGCAGCCATTAGAAATGACAAAATAATGGCATTTTCAGGGAAATGGATGGAGCTAGAAGGAATCATGTTGAGCGAGGTAAGCCAAGAACGAAGAGACAAACGGTACATGGTCTCCCTGATAAGTGGATGCTAAATCCAAAAGGTTAGGTGAAACGACAAAACTAACAGGACCTAAGAAACAAAGAACTCCTGCTCATCTGGTCGAACCACTACTAAATATCCCCATGCTGCTGATCACAAATATGGTATATAACATGTGAACAGTGTTATATATTACAGACTGTGGTAGACAATTTGCTCCAGGGAAGTTAGAATGAACTTGTGATTTTGAAATTATGTAATCATTTAATCACAATCAAAAAAAAAAAAAAGAATCTCGGGGAAGGGAGGGAGGGAGGGGATGGTATGGGGAAAACAATGGAGGGGGTAACAATGTTCAAGAGGAAGTGTACTCATAACCTCACTCATGCAACTGTAACCCTCTGTATAGTAGCTTTCCAATAAAAAAAAAAAAAAAAAGGGCTATGGTATTAATAATCCCACTGAACATACAATGCTCAGGCTTTAACATCTCTGAGAACAAATAAAACCACATAGCTTGACCAGCTTAAACACAGAGCAGTAATTTAGGACAGTAGCTTGAACATTTTTTTCTTATTATTAGATTAGCTTTTAGAATTCACTACTTGTTTCCTATTTCTAAAGGTCAGAGTTCTGGGCTGGGAAGGTGGCTCAGTGGTAGAGTGCTTGCCTTGCATGCATGAGGCCCTGGGTTCAATTCCTCAGCACCACATAAGCAGAAAAAGCCAGGAGTGGCACTGTGGCTCAAGTGGTAGAGCACTAGCATTGAGCTGAAGAGCTGAGGGACAGTGACCAGGCCCAGAGTTCAGACCCACGACAAAAAAAATAATAATAACTAAAGGTCAGAGTTCTGTGACACATTCCAGTGTTTTGTGATATTTCCACCTATCTTTGCTTTTAAATACATGTAGTCTATTTGGAAGAGACAGTGTGGTCTCTCATTACCCAGAAAGTTTACCTAATCCTCTATCATTCGGAAGATGGTGCTGTCTGTGTAGACATGGCCTTGCAGAATCGGTTCTCTCTTCCTGCAAAGATAAGCACAATTTATACCGCATAGTAAAAAATGTTGCACATGTTCTTTAGAATATATAGCTTAAAGGTCAAGTCAGTGATTTTTAAACTGTTTAATTTCAGGATCCCTTTATATTCCTAAATATAAAGAACCTTAAGCACTAATTGTTACTGCATTAGAACTTAAAACAGGAATTAAATAAAAAGTTTTAGGGCTGGGAAGGTGGTTCAGTGGAAGAGCGCTTGCCTTGCATGTATGAGGCCCTGGGTTCAATTCCTCAGCATCACATAATCAGAAAAAGCCGGAAGTGGCAATGTGGCTCAAGAGCACTGGTCTTGAGCTGAAGAGCTGAGGGACAGCAGCCAGGACCAGAGTTCAGGCCCACGACGACCACCACCACCACCAACAACAACAAAAGTTTAATTTAAAAATAACAAATCTTCCAGATGCTGGTAGCTCACGGCTGTAATCCTAGCTACTCAAGAGGCTGAGATCTGAGGACTGTAATTTGAAGCCACCTGGGCAGGAAAGTCTGTAGTCTGTAAGATTCTCACCTCCAAAAAACTACTCAGAAAAAGCCAGAAGTGGCTATGACTCAAGTGGTAGAGCCCTAGCCTTGAGCAAAAAGAAGTTAAAGAGCCGGGGGCTGGTGGCTCACACCTGTAATCCTAGCTACTCGGAAGGCTGAGATCTGAGGATCGTGGTTCAAAGACAGGTTCAAAGCCAGCCCAGGCAGGAAAGTCTGTGAGACTGTTATCTCCAATAAACCATTCAGAAAACTGGAAGTGGCACTGTGGCTCAAGAGGTAGAGTGCTAGCCTTGAGTTGAAGAGCTGAGGGACATCACCCAGGCCCAGAGTTCAAGCCCCATGATTGACAACAACAACAACAAAAAAGGAGTTCAGGGACAGTGCCTAAGCCCTAGGTTCAAGCCCCAGGACCAGCCTCACTCCCTAAAATAATAAATAAAACTAAAACTAAACAAATCTATGCCATGTTAACATATATAGTTTTAATTTTTTTTAAAAAACTATTTTTCTAAAACAATAAAACATGTATATTTTGTAATTTCCTTACTATCTGGCTCAATGCTGCATTTCCCTGTCCTTTTTGTTTTTTGGTCAGTCATGGGGCCTGAACTCTGGGCCTAGATACTGTCCCTCAGCTCTTCAGCTCAGGACTAGTACCCTACCACTTGAGCCACAGTGGCCACTTCTGGCTTTTTCTGCTTATGTGGTGCTGAGGTATCGAACCCAGGGCCTCATGCATGCAAGGCAAGCGCTCTACCACTGAGCCAACTTCCTAGCCCTAATTTTTTTTAAAGTATTATTTGTGAAGCATTAATTTATTATTTATTTATTTATTTAAAATTTTTTTGGGTCCAGTCATGGGGCCTAAACTCTGGGCCTAGGTGCTGTTCCTCAGCTCTTCAGCTAAAGGCTAGCACTTACCACTTGAGCCACAGTGCCACTTTCAGGGTTTTTTTTTCTGCTGATGTAGTACTGAGGAACGGAACCCAGGGCCTTATGCATGCAAGGCAAGTGCTCTACCACTGAGCCACCTTCCCAGCTCCCCTCCTCCCCCATCTATTTCTATACTCTATGTCCTACACTATGTTACTGAAGTACATGAAAAAAGTCTGTAGCCATCCAAATATGTAGCTACGAAAAGTACACCAAGGTTAACCTTTCATAAAATTGTGAGCAATTATCTCTAATCTCATAAAGAAACTTGATAAGTGGTAGTTTTAAAAGTTAGTTGCATGTAGAATCTGAAACACTCTCCATACTATGGTAAAATCCACTGGATTTTAATACAAGTTTTTAAAAATATTTATTGTGATTAGTAAAGTGTGTACAGAGGTGTTACCATTACTTAAGTCAAATTATGAATACATTTTCTTTTTGGACAATGTCACCCCCTCCTTTGCTTTCTCCCAGCTTCCCCCTGCCATCCCTTATCCACAAATTGCAGAGTGCGTTTTCCACAATGTCTACTGAGTACCATGCCTGCATTTGTTCACCCTTCCTCCCTCTCCACTTTCTGTACTATACTTTGCCCCCCGAAAGACAAAAAAATAAAAGCAAAATATAAACCACCAGCAGCAATAACAGCAACCAAAAAACCCAATGTTTCCATTTCCTGCCATTTGTTTTGATAAACAGTATGTTATACTTTTGGTTTCCTCTCCTAAGATTATCTTCCTTCAGTCTGACTGTGTGTGTGAATGCCTAGAATACTAACACAAGTTTGGGAGGGTTTTTTTTGTTTGTTTGTTATTGTTGTTTTTTTGCCAGTCTGAGGTTTGAGTTTTCGGCCTGGGTGCTGTCTCTGAGCTCCTTTTGCTTAAGACTAGTGCTCTACCACTTTGAGCCACAGTGTCACTTACATCTTTTTCTGTGATTAACTGGAGATAAGAGTCTCACAGACCTTCCTGCCCAGGCTGGCTTTGACCAGTGATCCTCAGATCTCAGCCTCCTGAATAACTAAGATTACAGGTGTGAGCCACCAGTGCCCATCTAATACAAGTTTTTTGTGTGTGTGTTTTATTTTTGCCAATCTGGGGACTTGAACTCAGGGCCTGGGCACTGTCCCTGAGTCTCTCTGTGCTCAAGACTAGCACTCTACCACTAAGCCACATTCCCAGCCCACAAGTTTTTTAATATTCTTATTTCACTTAATTTTATCATTGGCTATAAATACTATCAGTTGTTCCCCTTGGTTCACTGTTTAGCAAATGCCTGCCAGATATCCAAATCTGAATAACCAGTTTGTCAGCACCTGATCTTTCAAAGAAAACTAGTGTTCTATGAAAAAGAGCAGCTAATTCAGCACTAATACAATCCCACAGGGCCTATGACGACCTAATTCTTTGCTGTGCAATACACGTGCTTTTTACATATTTTCTATTCTGCCACAAAGAATATTAATATATAATCTCAAGGGCCTAAGTTTAATAAAGTTCATCACTTTAATTTAGAATACTCAAAAAGTGTGGCTTTTTTTCTTCTGTTTTTAAATTTAAAGAACATGCCAAGGAAGAATAAAATGCCAACTGAGCCAGCTTGGCTTGATTCACAACACAGGACTACCATTCTACCCACACACTGATTCTGTACCATAAAGCACAAATGCCAATGCTGCAGGAAGGACAAACAATAGCTAGGATTACCAGGAAAGAAGATCTGACCTACTGATTCCTGGGAAGGATTGTGGAATCCTTAGGGTCAGCAGATCAGACTCTGAGAAATACTCAAGAGCCTATCCTATATTATTCTGACTGGACACCATCATATTTTGAGTCAGAATTCCATCTGGCATTACTAGGCTTCATAAGGTGAAGCTGGCACGCACCTTCCTGGGGGGTGTGGCTGTGGCCTGGGGGGTGTGGGAAATGTGCACATAGTCATCTGGATGGCAGGTTGGGGCTGGAGGAGGAGAGGTTGCTGGGGTTCCCAGAGGAGTTCCTTTTCCACCTGCCCAGAGACAAGGGTGAAATAAATAAATAAGTACTGAATCTAAGTATTAGAAAAACAGACAATTCTTATCAGCATAATTATTACCACAAATTAGCCTGGAGAGTTAACTTCATGGGGATCTACATGAGTGTCTGTCTCTGTCTCTGACTCTCTCCCCCTTTCTTTTTATGGTTTACTTACTCATTCTGAAAGTCCCAGAAATGTGCATTAGGTGTCAAGAGCATTGTCAAGTATCCCCCAAACTCACTATGAGATCTGAACGGTGCTATCACAAAGGCAGGCCAAAACCAACCAATGAGATCCAATTATAACATACGTACCAGTTGTGCCAAAAACTTTACTGTAAGGATGGGACAAATCAGATGGGACATTTCCAGGAGATGTTGGAGGAGTGGTCATACCACAAACCGAAGATGGGCTCCAAAGAGTAGCCTGGGAAGTTAATAAAGTACATCAGTAGCAGCAAATGAATACTGCATCCTGCCTCAGATTTAAATCTGAAGTTCACTTTAAATTTAGCCTGTATAATTGTAAAGAGGCATCCCAGTAAAACTTTATCAATAGACAAACTGCAATTTAAATGTCTGAACTCCAAGATGTACAAGTAGCAAAAGCAGCTTTCTTTGTTCTTATCAAGGGCCCTCAAAAGGGCCTCACGCAATGTGAAAATTTCCCAACCATATACTAAATCTTAACCCAAACAGTCAGCTTCACCAGGAGGCAGAGACAGACAGGCACACTGTGAAACACCATACTTGTAGCGGCTCAGGTAACAGCCGTGCCGATGGGGAACTCAGAGTCTGAGGTAGCTGCCTGGGCGTACTGAACAACATCAGTTGAGTGGTGGAGTAAGGGGTGGAAGTAGCACTCCCTGAAACAAAAGGGAAGAACACAAAGGGTGAGAGTGGGCTTCAGATAGTTCTAGACCATCTGGCAATGTTCAGTTCTCTTCATTAAAAAAAAACAATTATTACAGCTGGGCACCGGTGGCTAACACCTGTAATCCTAACTACTCAGGAGGCTAAGATCTGAGGACTGCAGTTCAAAGACAACTGGGGCAGGAAAGTCTGTGAGATCTTTATCTCTAGAAAACCAGTGGCACTGTAGCTCAAGTGGTAGAGTGCTTGCCTTGAACTGAAGAGTTCAGGGGCAGCGTCCAGGCCCAGAGGCAGAGTTCAAGCCCCATGACTGGTTGTAGTAAGATCTGAACCCAGGGGCTCATGCTTGTCAAGTGCCCAGAGCTTTTTTGCTTTATCTTTTAGGTGTGGTCTTACTTTCTTTTAGCCTAAGACTGAGATTTTCCTAACCTATGCCTCTCAAACTGGGATTACAGGCATGAACCATCATATCTACATTACATTGAGACTATGTTTGTTTTTGTGGATGGAATTTTCTTTCAAGTTAGTTTCTGTTAATTAGATGTAACTTTTTTTTTTTTTTTTTTTGCCAGTCCTGGGACTTGAACTCTGGACCTGGGTGCTGTCCCTGAGCTTCTTTTGCTCAAGGCAAGCACTGTACCACTTGAGCCATAGTACCACTTCTGGCTTTTTTGAGTAGTTTTTAAGTAACAGATTTTAACAGACCTTTTTTAAGTAATAGATCTTAAAAGATCTGTTAATGCTCTTTGAAAATGAAAGTTCTGGGAGGTCTGATGTCATTAAGCCTCAGGATAATGGGAGACTGCACACTGTGTATGACAGCTTCAGTGGTGCAGCCTATGTTGAAAACTAAGATTTTTCTGTGAATCTAGTTTAAATTGTCCAATTTTTCTCAGTGTTATAGCCCAGCAAGCCTCATCTGAAGTACCTAGAAAAAAATCAGGAAACTACCTTAGGATGTAGGGCCTAGCTGTCAAATACTTAAGCCCTTTCTTTGTTAAGTGCTGAGGGCATATCTCCAAATCTATGAATGCACTATCAGGTAGGAGATCAAGAACAACTGAACTTGAAGGAGAAATTAATCAGAAGAAAAGAAAGGCAAACTCAAATTTAAATACTTGGGTGAAAATTCCTGGGACATAAAATAAATATTGTCCTAGGGAAAGGCCATCAAAAATCAACAAAGAGAAATAACACTTTTTTACCATAGCTATTCTGTGTATCAACATAGGGGCTGGTGGTAACATCAGCTGAACGAGGAGGAAAGCGGGTAAAGAGCTGGTGAGACACAGAATAACCATCTTCATAGGAGGCTTCCGTAGGGTCCAGGGAGATTTTGGCACACTCTATTACCACATCATGAGTTTCTAATTTCTTCCACCTGGAAAAGGTTAACGGAAGTCAAGAAAAGCAAATATTAACTCATTTAATCACATCAATTAAATTAGTTAAAAAGGCCAACTCAGTGCCAGCCATGGGACTGTGACTGGCAACAAACGAGGTAGAACAATGGTAGGCCCAAGTAGAAAACAGTACTAGTTGAAGAACTAGCCATTCATCTTCCAAGCCTATTCTTCCCTATTTAAGAAGAACACCAAACTGGACACTGGTGGCTTATACCTGTAATCCTAGCTACTCAGAAAGGTGGTATCTGAGGATTGTGGTTTGAAGCCAGCTTGGGCAGTAAAGTCTGTGAGACTCTTATCTTCAATAAACTACTCAAAGAAGCCAATGGCTCCAGTGGTAGAGCGTTTGCCTTGGGCAAAAGAAATTCAGGGCAGCACCTAGGCCCAGAGTTCAAGTTCCAAGACTGGCCAAAAAAAAAAAAAAAATTTACATCAAACTAACAGAAACTAATGTGAAAGAAAATTCCATCCACAAAACAAGCATAGCCTCAATGTAACATAAACGCTGTGGAGCAAGTCTTCGAACAAATGTCACCAAGGAGTAGGGTAAGCCTGTAAGCTGGGCTGACTTAAAGTTTCCTAGAAAGTCACAGGATTCTTCTATTCTTCTATGTAAAAGGTTACAGCTAGAGAGAACATTTAAAGAGCTGTCTGGAGCTTCCTGTTGTAAGCCCCACTTCCACCTTTACCACTTATCCTGTAGATATGGATGTACAGCAAGACATACACTAATGATCAGCACAGCACAACATATGATAGAAGACAGGAACAACATTCTTTTTTTTTTTTTTTTGGGGGGGGGGGTTCCGGTCATGGGGCCTCAACTCTGGGCCTGGGTGCTGTCCTCAGCTCTTCAGCTCAAGGCTAGTGCTCTGCCACTTGAGCCACAGCGCCACTTCTGGCTTTTTTTTTTTTTTGCTTATGTGGTGCTGAGGAACCGAACCCAGAGCCTCATGCATGCAAGGCAAGCGCTCTACCACTGAGCCACCTTCCCAGCCCCAAGGAAAGATATTCTACAACAGAAATGTTAATACACCATCAGGAAAAACAGGTTTTCCACACATCAAGGGTTGCCAGAGGCAGGGGAAGAATGCAAGGAACTTCTTCTTTTTTTTTTTTTTTTTGTCGTCGAGAGGCTTGAACTCTGGGCCTGGGCGCTATCCCTCAGCTCTTCAGCTCAAGGCGAGCGCTCTACCACTTGAGCTTCAGCGCCACTTCCGGTTTTCTGAGTGGTTTATTGGAGATAGGAGTCTCACAGTCTCTCCTGCTCGGGCTGGCTTTGAACCGTGATCCTCAGATCTCAGCCTCCTGAGTAGCTAGGATTACAGGCGTGAGCCACCAGCGCCCAGCTGCAAGGAACTTCTTGAGGCCATGGAAATATTCTTTATTGGGATTATGACTTTTGTCAAAACTTAATAAATTTTATTGTGTAAATTTTAGTCCACACTATACAAGTTTTAAAATCATGCCTTCAAGAATTAAATGATCCAGGGGCTGGCAAGATGGCTCAGTGGTAGAGCACTTGCTTTGCATGCATGAAGCCCTGGGTTCGATTCCTCAGCGCCACAATAAGCAAAAAGAAAAAAGCCGGAAGTAGTGCTGTGGCTCAAGTGGTAGAGCACTAGCCTTGAGCTGAAAAGCTGAGGGACAGTGCCCAGGCCCAGAGTTCAGGCCTCACGACCAGACCCCTTCCCCCCCCCCCCCCCCCCCCCCCGCCAAAAAAAGAATTAAATGATCCAGAATGTAATCTTTTTTTTTTTGGGGGGGGGGGGTCGGTCATGGGGCCTGAACACTGTCCCTCAGCTCTTCAGCTCAAGGCTAGTACTCTACCACTTGAGCCACAGCGCCACTTCCATTTTTTTCTGCTTAGTGGTGCTGAAGAATCGAACCCAGGGTCTCATGCATGCAAGACAAGCACTCTACCACTGAGCCACCTTCCCAGCCCCCAGAATCTTAAATTTAAAAAGGATACAAAACTTTTCAGGCATAGGTCCACAAGTAGATCTGACAATGTTAAGTATTTAAGTGAATGTGGCTCAGTGGTGAAGGACTTGCCTAGTAGTGTTCAAGAGGCCAGGCCTGAGTTGGATCCCTGCACATGTCCATTTTCTTTCAGCTCCTCTGTATTTGTCATTTGTTCCACAGCAGTCCTGATAATTGGCAGGATATTTGACATATGAATACCTGCTCAACACAGCATTATTGCAGGTGTTTCTACGCCCCTGGTGATTCTAGCTGGGATCCTCACTTTCCGTTCCACCTCAGAGAGGGGCACTCCAAGGCTGGCTCTAGTGAGATGTGTGACCTTGACAACGGATGCAGAATGCTCACTTCTTACAAGTTAAAAATTCCCTATATACAGAAGTGTGTCCAGGGCATGGGGGTGAGGCAGCTTCACTGAACAGCAACTGAGCAGAGGTGGCAAGGACATGGGCCCCTAGGGTTCTCACTGGACTTGTATATGGGGGCAGAATCATCTTCCCACATCCTTAGCAGAGCTAGAACATGAGCAAGGAGGAGGAAGGAAGAGAAGAAGAATGCCCATGGCTCATACCTGTAATCCTAGCTACTCAGGAGGCTCAGATCTGAGAATCACAGCTCACAACTAGCCCAGGGCAGTAAAGTCCGTACAACTCCCTCCTTCCCTCCTTCCTTCCTTCCTTTCTTCCTTCCTGCCAGTCCTGGGGCTTGAACTCAGGGCCTGGGTACTGTCCCTGAGCTTCTTTTGCTCAAGGCTAGCACTCTACCAACTTGAACCACAGCAACACTTCTGGCTTTTTCTGTTTATTTGGTACTGAGGAATTGAACCCAGACTTCATACATGCTAGGCAAGCACTCTACCACTAAGCCACATTCCTAGCCCCTTTGTGAGACTCATATCTCCAATTAACCACCAGAAAAAAGAAGTGGCACTGGGGTTCAAGTGGTAGAGGCTACCCTTGAGCACAAAGAGGCCCAGGCACAACACTTAGGCCCTTAGGAGTTTAAGCCCCACAACTGACCAAAAAAAAAGGGGAGGGGGTAACTATAGTAGTAAAGGGAACCTCTGGGTCTCCCTCTAACCTTTACTTCCAATGCTGTTGGCTAACTTGCTACTGTACTTTAGTATTTTCTAAAAATACGCTCTATGCTTTTTCTTTCTTGATATGACTTTTAGACTTTAGACTTTATCAGCCTCCTATTATAGTAGGAGCAGACTGAGGTTGCTGTCCTTTGTCTTGTCTCTCCTCCTCAATGATCTCAGAAGTGTACCATTATTTTTTTCATTGTTTTCATTTTTTTAATAAAATCTATTTCAATAATCATTAAGAAAAGAGTATTGGGTTGGGAAGGTGGCTCAGTGGTAGAGTGCTTGCCTTGCATGCATGAGGCCCTGGGTTCGATTCCTCAGCACCACATAAGCAAAAAGAAAAAAGATGGAAGTGGCACTGTGGCTCAAGTGGTAGAGCGCTAGCCCCACGACCGGACCAAAAAAAAAAAAAAGAAAAGAGTATTAAGAACTATTCGCAGCTGAACCAAATACAACATTGATATCTTCTTATTTGGCTTTCCTGGAGTTTTAATAGTTGTTTCTTTTTCTCTGTTTTCTCTTTCTTCTTTTCCATTTTTTTTTTCTCAACTTAGGACACAATACCTAATTTTTATTTAGTGAAATGCGACTATGTCAATCTACTCCATAGCATGGACCTTATGAATCTTCAGACTGCTGTTTCTTGACACTTCCCTAGGCTACAACCCCAGCTTCCTGAACTGTGTCTTCCTCCTCCTTGTTGTACCTGATGTTGATAAAATACATGCTCTTATAGCTAGCCAAGGATCATGGAAGGCAAATTTGAGTCCCTGTGACTCCTACCTGATAATTAATTTAGTTGATATAGAATCCTAAATTGAAAACCTTTTCAAATGATTCCTTATAGTTTGGGTTTTCTTTTTCTTTCTCTGAAAAACTTGTTTCCCACAACATGTGAAGTTGGTGCATTCTTCTACATTGACTATGCCCCATGCCCTACATAAGTCCCTCCAATCTAGAAGCAAGCTGAGTCCTTCAATTCTAAGAGTTTATTATTATTGGAAATATTTTGTGGTGCTGAAGATTAAACCCAGCACTTTGTACATGCTAGGCATGAGCTACAACCCCCAGCCCCTAGGAATTGTTTCTATATTATCATTTCTTTTACAATTCCTTCTTCCATCAACTTCCATCAATTTTACTTCTTTTTTAAAACTTCAGGGTTTTTTTTTGGGGGGTGGGGTGGGGGTGGGGGTGATGGTTCTAGGGCTTGAACTAGGTAGGACCTGGGCACTGTCCCTGAGCTTTTGCACTCAAGTTGAGAACTATACCACTTGAGTCATAGCTCTACTTCTGGCTTTTGGGTGGTTAACTGGAGATAAGAGTCTCATAGACTTTCCTGCTCAGCCTGGCTTTGAACCATAATCCTCAGATCTCAGCCTCTTGAGTAGCTAGGATAATAAGCATAAGCTACCAGTACCTAGATTAAAACATTTTTCATTGGATACTGGAACTTTCTGTACTGATTATTTTACATTACTTCCCTATTACCTATCTTTATCCTTTGGTTATTCTTTCTTTTTTTCTTTTGTCAGTTGTGGGACTTGAACTCTGGGCCTGAGCACTGTCCCTCAGCTCTTCAGCTCAAGGCTAGTGATCTACCACTTGAGCTACAGCGCCACTTCCTGGTTACACTTTCTAAGATAGTCTCAAGTTTGAAATGTTTATTTGGCTGAGTGAGGTGGCTCATGTCTGTTATCCTACTTGAGAGATGGGAGATCAGGTAGATGGCATGTTGAGACTAGCCCTGATTTAAAAGAAAAAAAAGTTTATGGGACCTACATCTCAACCAATAAAAAAAACTAGGAGCCACAGTCACCCACAGTGCACCAGTCACCCCAGCTACTACATAGGAAACATAAATAAGATGATCATCTATGTTAGCCCAAGTATGAATGTGAAACC